CCCGCGACCATGGGATACCCCCATCATTTTCCCACCTGGACTTGATGTAAGAGGGGACTTTTTGAGAGCTAGAGATGATGCAGGCTATGTCTCATCTGAGGATGAGTTCGAAGAAAATGAAGGTGATGGCAATGGTGACTATATCACTAGCGTGATCGACTTTCCCCACCCCAGAGACAGAGGCTACGATAGAGTATTCGCCAAGATCATGAGAATCCTCTTCAACGTCCTCAAATTGGCTCCTGTCCACGAGAATCAGGAACCGTACATCGATATACGGTTCGGCTTCCCAATCCCTCGGGAATTTGGACTGAGCCGCATCTCCAGCCCTGAAGAGATGGAAGCAAATACCCTAGAGGGTCCCTGGCTTACAACCATCTATTTTGGTATGAACCGCAACGGCGAGGAGCTACCAGAATTACCGTCCGTAGCTTCGTGCAGTTTTGAACTCGTCTCGTGGAGCTTATGCTTCGAACCTCACGCGGCGTGCATCCTTGCAAGCAAGATGCCACATCTGAAGAAGCTCAAACTTCATCTCAGTGATAGAGAGCTGAAGGATCCAGGTCTCAGAATTGAGATGAGAAAGAGTAAGGTCTCCACGGGCTGCAAACCTGAGTCGCTGACAGTTCTGTAGAGCTTGCAAGTTCGTTGTCTATCTTGCCACAGGGCATATATGACTTCGATTTTCATTATTCACGAGGTATACCACGGGATCATGTACACATACCCGCCAGTATACTAGACCCAGAAGAAAACTGCGATCACCTCAGCCAAGCTCTCTTCAACTTCTCTCAGCGAGAGAACATTACGCGATTCTCGGCGGAGGGGAGTTTCGAACTGAGTGTAATGGGCCCATCAGAAGAAGCTCTGTCTAGCTATCCCGGCTGGTCCAAACTCGAAAACTACGAGATCGGGTTTCTTGCCATCACCCCCGCTGGACAGTGGCTCGCGGTGCCCTATAGGGAAGATCCGAACACTGACATCTTCAAAACCAAACGATGGGGCCCACCGAGTGGGCGGCCGCGAGGTTATTACTCAAATTTCAACGTCAATGAATTCAGAGGTCCGATTGATTCAGACTATGCACACGAACTCCTCTGTGCAGCGGGGCAGGCAGCTTCTCACATGCCTGGACTACAACGAATGGTCATCAATGTCGGAGTGATCGGGAGCTACAGGGTCTCTTACAACAGCGCCAAAGTCGAGCCGTGTATGAGAATCGTCGGAAAGAAGCTGCAGCCGCCCGAGGAAGACATGCTTCGAATTTGGCGTCGCGTAGCGCGTGAGCACGATCATAAGCTTGTCCTTCGTTGGAAGGACACAGCGAGGATAAAAACGAGAATTGAGGATTTTGAATAATTTGGTCATGAAACTTTTTGTATTACGATCGTAAATGATATACATGAGAATCAATGGGTATCAATGTTGCTAGTGGGTTCCGTGTTTTCCCCCCAATAAATGAACTGTCCTTAATCCTGAACTCCTCCCAATGATATGATATGCCGAATTGCAAATGAGACAATTCTGTTCAATTCGAGGTCGCTCTGCGCCTTTTTCTAGGCGGCGTCATCCTCGTAGATAAAATGGTTGGTCCCAAGACCATGTTGTATGTAGCCAGGTCGTCACTGAGATGGGTCGGAAGACACAATGCCAACCCAACTCAGGCGCTCGATGACGAATGGCGAGATGAGTGAAATGACACGGCTGAAGTTATTTATTGCCGTGGTGGCTTTGTGGCGCTGTTAGCTTACGGCAGCTTCAGTGTCAGGTGATGGCTTCGGCATTTGCAGTTGAGTTGGGGAACTCGTAACAGCGGTGAGGGTCGTGCTTCAGTGGCTGACTGAAGAGCTTACGGAGGCGTTGTAGTTATGAATCGTGTGTGTGGCGTGAGTAATTGTTCTGCGATGTGTTAGAGTTGAAGGGCGGGACAAGGGAGAGTTACTTACAGTAGTCGAGGAAGTTTAATGGGCTGGCCTTTTGGTGACGACCGCCCGACTGTGATGATGCGTTGGTGCTGTACTTTTGTACGTGGTTCATTTGAATTGGAGCGACGTTCGTTTGAATGGGAACGTCGCTCCCTGTCCGCGTTGAGGAATTTCGTCCGATTGATTGACATTCGACGTTTGAAGGATCTGGCGGTGGGGTTTCGGGTTCGCCGACGATGTGCATGCAATTGCAATCACTGTGTTGGACGAGTAGCAACAATTTGTTGAGCACCACGAACTCCATCTTTAGTTTGATGCTGTACACGACGGGTTTGTATGTTGTTTGTATGTTGAAGTGGCTCATGTACTGCGTGACGATGAGGCTGATGTCGAGGAGGATGACGAGGATGTTGACGATGATGAGGTATCGCATGATCTTGCGCTCCATCTTCTTGCGCACGGCAAAGATTGGTTTGAGACCCCGCGACGTTTCCCATATGTAGAGACCCGAGATGATTGTTTCTTGTATGCAGAAGCCGGCGAGTTGGATGCGCTCGTAGACGTTGAAGGCGCCGATGTAATGGGCGGAGTGTTTGGTGTTGCTTCCGAGGAAGAGGACCGTCGTCGGGACATGTAGTATGAAGAAGTTGATGATGATCATGTATAAAACCCATCGCGTCTTCGACTTATCCTCAACGATGAGATGTAGTCGAGAATACAGCACGACAGATTGGCCGGTGACCATCCCATACCAGCCCACGCACGTCAAAACGCAGAGCAAGAAATTAGGCCCCAGGCTGTAGTACCTCAACATGACGACGATGCTGTGCAGCAATATCCCCTGGGTCGCGACCATCATGCTCCAGAAATAGAGCCCATCGTGCCGTTTGAAGCGACTTAGTAACGAGATGAGGATCTCGAGACAGTTGTAGCAGGCTATGGCGAAGAGGCCCGCGATGGCCATGTTGACCGGCAACGACACGGCAATTGGCCCCGTCTGGCCTGTCTCCCCAGACTGAGCGGCCATGATTTCGGCGGTTCCGACGGACGTACGACGGTCATTAAGGAGAGGTAGATTTAGATTGACTTTGGTGCGGGTGCATCGTGAACAGTTGGCAGCTCTTGGCGAAGGAGGAGAAGAAGAAAGGCAGAGACGGAAGACGGAAGAGCAGAGCTTGGGCTTGGGTGCAACGTTAATATGGATGGGCTGGTTTCCCCGTGTCGATCTGGCGCGTCATTTTTTTGTGTATGACTATGAGTGGCCTTGCTTCATTAATACGAATAACCTGTTCAGTTAATCGTCATCAGCTCCCCCTGCATTGGGGGCAGCCAGGCCAGTCCATCCCATGCGAACGGACCCAAAATTGATGCTTCAAGGATGTAACCGCTAAAAGCTCAAGCGTAAGCCCGGACATGATTCAAGGCCCGCAGACGTCTTTCATGTCTCAGCCATCAAACATGTGCTCGTGGCTTGGGGAACAAGGTTAGCAACGAGAGCAATTGGTTGGGTTGGCAAACGTACGTTAACGAAGAGCGGAAAGACAAGACAAAACTCTTCAATCCCAAGCCTCAACTGTCCCAATCCAATTGACATGGGGGGTGATTTGCCAATGAAACAAAGACAAGACAGAACACGGACACACCCATCCACTCCGTTGGGCCGGTAAAAGTTTAACCAGGGGAGGGCCTGGGAGGGTTTATCGACGCGCCAACCGCGTTGGGTAAAAAACTCCCTGGACCCCCGGCCCCCATGAAATAATCTTTGTATAATTATAACCTTTTGCCCACGGCGTCGCGAAGTATGTGAGCTGTCAAGTCGTGACATTCTACCAGTTCGAGTCTGGAAGCTGGGGAGAGGTCATCAGGAGAGAGCAAATGTCACCAGGAGAAATGCTGCAAGGATGAATGACAAGGGGACCAGTATTTAGAGTTTATGTACATCTAATGCAAAGCCACGAAATATCATCGAGTGACAGTCTCAGCCTGCAAACGTCGACTTTTCCATTATTTTTCGTCTTAAATGTCAGGCGCAGAAGCTTAAACAGTCAGATTAAAAGTCACAGACAATCATCTCTAGTTAAAGCAGCAAAAAAGTATATAAATGTCATTGAAGCAAAGAGTCAAAGCAAATGACTCGCGATATGCATGAATTAAGCGTAGGTCACAGCGCAGCGCCCTTAGCTTGAAGCCCTCGGAAAATCCCATGCCCGCGAGTTGATGAATGCTCGAGATGCATTGTCAATCAATGCGACGTCAATTTTATGCTCCTCGTTGTTGTAGAATTGCGCAATGCTAAGTGTTGTCTCAATTGGGTCCTTGGGAGGGCATCGCGGAACGCCTCTCAGCACTTGCAAGGATGACTACCGAGTTCCGTCTCACGGAACGGAACTACCGAGGCCAAGACTGCTTGTTTCTTCAGTGGGAATTGAGGCAATTAATCATCCGCTTTTGCTGACAGGTACATACGGATACAGAACCAAGAATTAAGCTTTGGGTTAGGATGAACTTGTCAGATTTGAATGCCACCTTTTTTCCCTTTCCCTTTGATGCCTAAACCCGCTCCGAGGCTAGAGCGTGGCTACGTATTCGCGGTTTAACGTTACGATAAACAATGGACGCCAATCGGTCGGGGGAGCAGTCAAGCCAGTCAAGCCAGTTCAGCTCCAGCCCCACCCCCTGTAACAAGTCAAAGCAGCCCGCAAAACAAGACAAGCCTAAACAATCTCCAACCGCGAGCTATTGCCCCTTCGCCTCACATTAGACCCCCTCAATACACGAAATACGCTTCAATCAAATCACCTGCCTGACAGCTCATGTGTAGCACATCTGCAAGGGACGATATCACTTTCCCCATTCAGTATCGTTCGTTTCCCATGATCTTCCCGGGGCGCGAATCTCGAATCTCACCGGGCGATGCTTCCGGGACGAAGCCTTGGGCACCAAGTGGCCTCGCCTCAGAGCTGAGGGACAAGCCTAATTAGTGGCAAACTTTAAGCACAAGGTTGTTATGCCAAGTTGAGTAACACCGAGATTCTGCATCGACTTGGATCCTTGCAATGACAGTTGTCTCGGGGTTCACGATGCTTGGCCCTGCATCTCTATGATATGGCTGTCGCTCTCTTCCCAGGGAAACTCGTGCTCCAATGACCGAATTAATTGCTCGTGCTGTGGCGATCTTGGCGTAATAGCGGCCTTGAACGGCTCGGGGTGGCTGATCATCCCGGGAGTAAATAGGAGTTCAGGTTGGGCACCATTCTCGTCTTTTCTGATATGCAATACAGCGAGTGACTGGGCAATGTTGAGGAATAATGCATTGTCGGCTAAGACACGCCCCGGGCATACGCGGCGCCCAAAGCCGAAAGTGTACGTATGCGGATCTTGTTCAGGTTGCTTGCCGTCGGTAGACAAGAACCGTTCTGGCTTAAAGCGCATTGGATCTTGGTGGACCTCAGGGTCGTGGGCAAAGTACCTATGCACCGTTAGCCCGAAGCCAGGTACCGTCAAGAAGTACTCACCAGATATTAGCCATAATCAAGGCGTCCCTGGGAATAAAGTAGCCCTCAAACACATCATCCACAGTACTTATATAAGGCAGACCCATAGGGACTACCAGATTCCATCGAAGAACCTCCTTAACTATCGCATTGACATAAGGAAGACTTGCCCGGTCTGAACAATTAGGTAGTCTTTCGTTGCCGATTACGCAGTCAATTTCCTCTTGTGCCTTCTTCTGGACATCAGGGTACAATATCATTGCTAGAAAGAAAAGAGAAATGGACGAGACAGTCTGCCATGCCAGCTAACGTTCCTCGTAATCTCCGCCAAGCAACGTACCGTATCAGCCCCGTCAGCGTACAATGACAAGGCAGACCACTTGGTCGTGAACCTCGCTTCCTCAGTCGAATCTCCCACTTCAAGAAGCCGTGAGACAAATGAGTTATCTTGTTTACCAGAAGCGTGCTGGTGCTTGACAAAAGCATAAGGCTTTTCAGTAAAATCGTCCAGCATGAAGACCATCTCTTGGCAAGTCTCTTGAAGTTCGCACCCCGGAAACCAACATGGTACGTATCGCACTGGGAGCGTCAGTAGTTTGCGTTAGTAGGCAGGGTAGTGTTTGAGGCGGCTTACATAGGGGCAGTATATCAACTAGAAACGCACCGGGGACTCCGGCGGCTGTGACATTATCCATGGCCTGGCCCGCATTTTGATGAGTATGTCTTCCTTGAAGGGCTCTGCTGTATATTCGTAAGCAATTTTCAGAATGACTTAACCCGCTTCCCTTGGAAATGTTAGCGTAGTCCCCTGACTCCTGAGGGCTGAGTAAACCGACTTCCTGATATGGTCCATGAACCTCTCTGGGTCGTCCAAGACATGCAGTAGGAAGTGAGCGACTTCAGCCTCTTGCAGCTTATCATACTTTGCCGCGGCCCTTTTCGATCCGATCATACGAGCCATGTTCTTCCGATGCGTTCTAAAGCGATCGTTGTATGGTGAGAAACCAAGCGAATTCTCCCAACCAACCCTGTCTTGATTAGCCGTTTCATATCATCACAGAACAGCGGCGGCTCACATTTCGCCCGCCATCATAATCTTGGGTCTGGAGGAATGTTTCGCGGATCGTTTATCTAGCAGCTGTGATGCAAGTTTCCAGCTGTTTATGATGATGATTGTCTGCCCCATTACCGTGATAGAGCTAATAGGTCCTGGTCGCTGTCAGCAGTTGGCTCGCTGTGCAGTCTACTTCTACTGGAGGTCTTACCATAGAGGCCCTTGAGTTTTAACCAGTGATGTGCTTCGAACACGCGTGGCGGCGGAAGATCGTTCAGGTTTCCTACTAAAGGGATGCCTTTCGGCCCCGGGGGAAGATGAGGTCGCTTAGGTACACTGCCAAGTACTTGAAGGCCGATATAAACCAGGCATCCAAGGGCGAACCCGGCAAAGAAATTCGATGCCTCCAACATGATTGCAATACTCGGGCGAACAATGAAAAGAGCACGAAGTAGAGGCAGTCGCAAAGGGTAGATTCATGTTTCACATGCACATCTGCTCAGCCAGCACACATCATATTGAGGGGCCATTCCTGACGTCTGACAAGAATCTTATCACAGTGCATCACTGCATATACAGCCCGTTTCCCGCCGAATCATCGACTTTGTATTTCGTTGGCGATTCATGCGATTAACATCTTCCTGTCCGAGACGAGTGACTCACTCCACTGCTGAATGAAAATCTTGCTTTCCCCGGAAGTTACCCCTTGAAAGTTGCTTCTTTGTTGTCTGATAATGTTGGTTCTGTTCGTTTGTTCGGAGGAGCATTACCCAATTTGGAATATGGTGCGGTGGTATGTTGACATCCGCATAGCCAAACTGCATGTAGTCACTGGATGTAGGGCTTAGCCTCGGATTTAGGCAATAAAGTAACAATAAAACGACCTCAATTATAATAATAACGTACATATTCGCTATCGGTTCAGCAGACAGCGCTGCATGGTAAGTGACGAGGCCAATCAGGCATAAGCATCTGCCTCAACCCATGGCTTGACAATTTGCACCAGGGTCGGCGAGCTTTATGAAAACCGGCAATCATTGAGGCAGTCAGAGAAGCTCCCCTCGGATTTCTGGTAAGTGTGCAGAATACTCACCCGAAGAAAATGAGGATCATTCGGTAGACATGTTGAAATAGGACGGTCTAACATATCGAGTTCTAGGCGCTACAGAGTATCTCCTCCTCTAAGAAGCCATGCTGGCACTTCTCGTGACATGTAGCCTGAGAGCTTCAGGAAACGGAGTTTCGGAGGAGGCCCGAGAATTTGAGAAACCTGCTCCTCAGCCTCTTGGCAGTAGTAGCAGTCTCCGTATAATTCTAATGTTTCGAGGCTTGAAAAATACGGCAAAAGATGCCAGACTTGAATGACCTCAGTATTAATGGAATCGGTATCTTCAGCCACTGGCCTCCATGAAGGATCAATCACGGTGCACAGATGTCTTACACGCTGGGTGATCTGCTGCAACCGATCGGGGTTCTCTTTGTGCATTATTTGCAGTATATTGAAGAACTGATAAGCCTTCATACACGCGCCTCGCCCGTCTCCCCATTTAGGCTTGTGGTGATAAGGCCGATGCGCTGGGTCTCTCGCTGGAGGAGGGACCTTAATCTCGTGTCTGGACTCATGGTAGCCCTCTTCATGGAGTTCAATGTCATTCCAGAGAAGCGGTGTTGCAATTTGGTTGACGAGTTTTGAGGTTCGGGCAATTGTGCCAAGGTCGTGCGCTCCAATTTGAGAAAGGATATGGAGTTGAATCTCACCGGGGAGATTATCTAGTGTTAGGTATGAGAACATGACGATCGATACAGTGAGTAGGCCACGTTGATTTTGACAACTCTTCGCGTTTTGAATGATGTGTTCCATCGCCAACCTCGCTCTAGCGCTTATGAGGCTGGCTCCGGAAGTGAATAATTATCCCGGTCCGGCTTCCACTCATGATCGTGAGTGGTGACGTGCATTGGCGTTCCATGTGAGAAGATAGACACAGAGGATGGAAGTGATTCCGAGTCTGATTATGGAAGTCTAATCGACGACATGATCATCCCTCGACCCTTGGGGAATATTTTCAAAGACTATGGTGACCACAAATTGAAATTACCGAAACTGAAGCATTTGTTGCTCGGCCAGCCCGCAGAGTCATGCTCCACCAACGATTTCGCGACATATAGCTGGCCAAAACGCGCCGAATCAGCTTGCTACGACGATTGGCGTAGAATTCTAGAGGCTTGCATGAAAACACTTGAGACATTAGTTCTGGAGCAAAGACCAGCGGCAGATCATATCGAAGGAGACGGTTACAGCGAAGATACGTGGATGGATGAAAGAGTATGGTCTCATGCAGGTGAGATACTTCTTGAGATGGTTCAAACAGTTATATCCTATGAAACGAGTCGGCTACCCTTGAAGTGGGTATATCTGTATGGTATAGTCTCTGTTTTAGAAGAAGATGATCCTCCGTTTTTGGATTTGCCTGCCGGCAAGTTTATGCAATTTCTCAAGAATCGTGGGGTTGAGTGTGAGACGAGACGGGGGAGGTGGTGCTTCTTTGATAGACAAACTGGATCCGTGGATTGGTGCCCTTGGAATGCGGCGTTTGAGGATGAAGAAGAGGAGGATGAGGAGGATTTAGACGGGGACAAAGATGAAGATGCTGAACCAAAGGCGAAGTGGGATACTGTGCTGGCCAAGGTTACATCAGAGTAGCTTGTCACTTTTAATCTGAACCACTTTTAGTGAGGTTTGTAGAAGGTTGACTGAAAATCTACATCTTTCATCAGTGGTTCACTTCCATCGGCCAGTTCTCAGCTATTCCCGAGGCATCTCGGTCTCTCCAACACAACGCCGTACCCCACATTCATAAAAGGCATTGCGTAATGATCAAGCACTTCCAACATCCAAACACCAACATTAATCTTCACAATGTCCTCCTTCGCCGTAGTAAAAGACATCGACCACCTCGTCCTAACATGCAATGACATCCCCGCCACAATAGAATGGTACACCAAATATCTCGGCATGAAGTCCGAGACCTTTACATCAGCAACCGACCCCTCGTCTCCACCTCGCAGCGCCTTGAAATTCGGCACTCACAAGATCAATCTTCATCAGCGCGGTAAAGAGTTTGAGCCCAAGGCTAGAACTGCTTTGCCTGGCACTGCTGATTTGTGCTTTATTATCGAGGATGGGACGGATCTGCAGGGCTTGATTGAGGGGTTTGAGAAGGAGGGTATAAAGGTTCTGGAAGGGGGAAAGGTTGTTGGTAGAACGGGGGCTATGGGGGGGATTCAGAGTATTTATGTTCGTGACCCTGATGGGAATCTGATTGAGTAAGTTAAGGCTGAATTTCTGGTTGAAACGGCTATTTTGTGAGACTCTACTAACTGTTCATAGACTTTCCCAGTACTCGACTTAAGAGCTGAGATTTGTCAACTTGAAATACTACTTTATTCGGCTTTATCTTTCCCTACGTGGGGTTCAAGTACATAAAAGCCTTTTATCGTCTTCTCCCTGTTTTCATCTTGTGATTAGATCCCATCTTAACAGACTTCACGCTCTTGGTCGAACAACGACCTGAAGCCGTGTCCTAGAAGGTGGTCTCAGCCATCTAGAAACTACTCCATTTTGCTATGACTAATCTGCAGTGAATTGGCATTGGAGTGAGCTGACTTTGCATAAATTTAGAGTGGTCCAGGAGGAGTTTGTTTTCAAACAAACTCCACATGCCAGGGACGTATCGCGGGTCATTTTTGTTTTATACAAGTCCGTGAGACTTCTAGCCTATCTCTTGAAATCATTCACCGACAAAACGGAGTGGCTTGGCTTGGAAGGATACTCCAGTTGAGACCACATCGACTCGCTCTACCTATCGCCCCATTATCTGTCCATGAGCTACAGTTGCGTCAAGTTGTACCTTATACATACTCAGGAGATGCATAGCATATATCACAGCTTACGTACCAGCATTCCAGCAACTAGGAGAAGAAATATGTATATAGCTCCGTTCATTGGCCTGATTGCTATGGAGTTCTGCTACCTACCTAGGTAGTTATAACAAAGTGGCTGGCTGAACTGCTGCGCTTGAGTCGCAACCGGTGGAGCTCGACCCTCACCTTGACTCACGCAAGAATCCTATCTCGGCAATCTCAGTTCCGGCACCCAGTTCCTTGGTAGAAACCGTCAATGCAACTGTCGTCATGTCTAAGACCTAATGCAACTCAGTACTGTCCTCCTACTCGATTCATATCGTAGGGAAAAGTGGGAGCGTCATCTCTCACAGAAGATCCGCAGGCACTATTCCCAGAGTATAGTAGAGCTTATCTCCCATTCCTCGTTCCAGTCCAACTAAGCTCCCGGTCACGATCTACCAAATGCCGATCAGCCAGGGCACGTGGGGCCAAATCTGGCTTCCGGTAGATCACTGGGAGGCCTATTGACGACGTGGTTATGGAGTGGAACGTATACATAGCAGGAATATAGAACGGCGTGGCATGATTCGTGAGAACACGAGGATAGTGGTTCATGTTTCTGCCCAGTCTCATTGAGAAGGAATTCGACAACCGTTAGCCCGTTACCAAAACATCCTCCATTCCCAGCTCTCCCTGATCCACATACTTCTCTATCAAATCACAGCCAAAAAGCAATAAATCGCACAAGCAAAGGTGTCGAGACTCCTGCAGTAGTGTCGATTAGCTTCTACAGAAAGAGTCAAAGATCTTCGATTCCACTGGGCCGAAATGCTGCAATTTCACCAGCACAAGTCAGTGGTGCAGATCGAAACATAAGGGAGGGGCCTGTTCTGCTCTGTGCGGCTAAGATCGACACTACCGGGCTCCGTAAGGCTAGGAACCCAGTAGGTCCAGCTCTCCACAGTTCGACTAGACAGAATTTCCGAGAAATAGGGACTGTAAGGGGGAAGTGACGTAGAGAGATTGAGAAATGATGGCTGAGATGGTATGTTTGAGAGATGATGATCGCACTCTGCTGTCATTTGTGTGACGTCGAGCAGTGTATTGTTCTGATACGAGGTTGCGATTAGATATGATCATATTCAGACTTCAAAACATCACCAGGAAGGACGACGAGCTGCAAAATCATGATACTATCGAAGGCCATGGTAAGATATATTTCCTCGTTACGATTCAAGTATCGAAATCGCCCAGAGCCCCATAGGGCGTGGATCTTCACTGAGAGTCATGATGCCGCCAGCTCCCCGGTGGGCTCAACACCACACTAACTATCACGACTCCATTCTACCAGAGTGATCGACAAGACTACCGACTTCTAGTGACAGCACCAATCTCTTTCCCAGATACTCCCTTGGCAAGAAATCTTTATATAAGGACCTCTCTTCACCACGTCAAAACTATTCTCATCATCCTCACATCATCACATCTCAACACTTCTCTACATCACACTCCTTTGAAAAACACTCTTTCAGTTTTCTTCTCAACCAAATTCGAAATGAAGGCCACTTTCTTCTCCGTTTTCGCCCTCGCCATCTCGGCCATCGCCTCTCCTGTTCCCGAGGTTCAGAAAGACACCCGCTCTGTCGAGCAGGTCAACGGCGCTATTCACAACGCTGAGAACATCGTCTCCAAGGTCGGCGTCAAGCAGATCGTCGACGAGGCTACCAAGTCTCCTGCCAAGCGCGCTGCTATCTCCAACCCCCAGGAGCTCATCACCGTTCTCAAGAGCGGTGTTAGCAACATTAACAAGAAGACCACTGGTCTGAGTAAGTGATCACCTTTGAAATTGATATTTGGGTTGATGCTAATGGGTTTAGACTCTATTGCTGAGAAGATCAAGGCTGGTGATCTTACCAAGGACGCTGGTGCTACCAAGGCCATTCCTGGCTTTGAGTCCGTTCACTTCGAGCTTACTGAGATCGTCACCAAGCTTACTGGTGCTGCTGGTCTTGATGTTGCCGACTCTGATGTCGACACTGTCCTCAACCTCGTTGTCGTCCTTGTTTCTGAGGTTCTCACAGCTGTCAAGACCATCGTCACTGTTACTGGCCTCCGACCTCAACTCATCTCCATCCTCCACTCTGTCTTCCAGCTCCTCACCAAGGTTCTCGTCCTTGTCATTGGCCTCGTTTCTGCCATTGTTCCTGGTCTGGTTGCCGGTCTTACTCCTCTCCTTGCTGGTCTCGGCAACGGCGTTCTCGCTCCCGTCCTTCTTCCTATCACTGGCCTACTTGCTAGCCTCGCTGTTTAAATGGCTTCCCGCTAGGGCTGGCTACATTAATAGCACTATGAGCGTGAAGCTTTCGGGTAGAACCGATAGCTACATAAACTCAATTCATCATCATGATATTACGGAGAGATATCTTGGGTTAATGTCTATGGCCAATGGTCTTCTATGTATATAATTACTCTTATCAACAAAAGTTCACGATATCTAATTGTCACACCTGGCTCCTTTTGTTGCTAATCAATTTGTTTGTAAGCACGATACACGTAGATGATTGACTGGCGTTTTTACTAATTTTATTCTAAAAGTTCTTAAAAGGATATGTGTTTCCCCTTTAGACTTTTGACACCAGTTATTTAGTGCTGATTGGGATCTGTCATCGGGGTTCAAAGGTTTCTTGGTTTACGCCCTGTAGCTGACAAAACCTACGTCACCTTGAAATGGGGTAAAATGAAGCTCAAGAGGAAAGTCTTTCCATGATAACACTAACTCGATCTATTCACGCCTTTCCATTGACATTAACCTAGTGGATATAAAATATTAGACATTTCTTCAGACAACACTAACACAACATTCTACCGCCGACAGTTGATACACCATGGCAGCATCGCGATCAGTCTCAATCACTTATGTCCCGGCGGACTGTGGATCTATTATTCCAGGCAAGTCCAAAGCACCTCAAGCGTTCAGAGGTGTTGGTATCGTTGACAAATTGAGAGATGCCGGTGTACCATCTGTCTCTGAGCATCATGCTTTAAAGGCGCCAGCAACATTCTCTGCTACGACGTTTAGCCTAGGCGGTGCACGCAATGAAGACATCAATATCGCGGTCTGCGAAGACGTTGAGTCGACCATCCTCAATAACTTCAAGATTTCGAATGGTCAACTTGATTTCCAGCTCGTCCTCGGCGGCGAGTGCTGTATGCTGCCGGCTATCCTCTCGGCCTTTTGGAAACATGCCGACTCACAGTCTCCGCCAGGACGTGTTGGTCTGATTTATATCGACGCCGATACCGATCTTACCTCTCCTACAGACCTGAGCTCTATTGGAACTTTTGCTGGAATGAATATGGCTCATCTTGTTCGGTTACCAGGTGCACTTCCACGCATGGAGCAGTTCTCTCGTCCATCAGGCGAACCAGTCTGTGATGCTTCGAATACTGTCTTCTTCGGCACGAACATGTCTCTTCCTGGAAACAAACCACAGCACTTCAAGTATCTCTTCGACAACAACTTCAAAGTCGTTAGCTCAGCATCCGTGGCGAAAGACCCTGAGCAGCGCGCAAAAGAAACGCTCGAGTTTCTACACGACAAAGTCGATATTATTATGGTTCATTTAGATGTTGACTCGATTGATCCTGGAACGTTTCCCTTGGCGAATGTTCCCAACTTTACTGGTGTGGAGTTCGAGAATATGATGAGAGCGCTTAAAGTGCTGCTTGGAAATGAAAAAGTTGGAGGTCTCACTGTTGCGGAGGTCAACCCTGATCATGATCCTGGGCTGAAGATGACTGAGAGATTGACTTCTCATATCGTGGACATGTTGGCCGCAAGAAAGTGAAGGTAGAGAAATATACGATACATAAACAATGACAAGAAATATGGAAGATCGATATGTTACGCTATGTACGCTAGACCTGTATCAGACTGTGAGAGGCAAAGCACAGCTTAACGTTGATAGGGCCGCATGCGCAGAGCATTCGTCACCTCAACCAACGCCCCCCAAATTCGGGCACATCACAACTCACTCAGTCTATCCCCGCTCTTTCATCGAAACCGCCAAGAACATTACTCACTAACAATTATCACATAAGACGAATAATCGCGATGGGCAATACGTACTCTTTATTCTTTCCCCCAAGTCCACAGTTTACCGAAGAGGGCCTCACCCCGCAGAATGGGCGCGTATTTATCGTCACAGGCGGCTACTCGGGCGTAGGCTTCGAATTGAGTCGTATGCTCTATCAAGCTGGCGGGTCCGTTTATATCGCTGGAAGATCGCAAGAGAAAGCAGAATCAGCTATCAAACAACTCAAAGAACAATATCCCGATGCAAGCGGCAGCCTGAGCTTTCTCAAAATAGCACTCGATGACCTGGATTCAATAAAAGAAGCAGCAGAAGATTTCAAGTCAAGAGAGTCCAGGCTCGATGTCCTTTTCAACAACGCAGGAGTATCTAACCCTCCAGCTGGTTCAGTCTCAGCTCAAGGATATGAACTCAGCATGGCAACTAATGCTATTGGGCCTTGGTACCTCACGCAGCTACTCGTGCCAATTCTGAAGGAAACGGCAAAGAACCAGCCCCCAGCATCAGTTCGAGTAATCTGGACAGCTTCCATCGTCACAGACCTCTCCGTCCCCAAGGGTGGAGTCAAGATGGAAGAAGTCATCAATCCATCCAAAGACCAACAAGTCAATTACACGAATTCAAAGACAGGAAACTGGTACCTCGCCAGCGTTCTAGCAAATCAGATTGGTTCTCATGGTGTTCTCAGCGTTTGTCACAATCCAGGAAATCTTCACAGCAACCTGCTTCGCCATATGCCGTCGATTGTTGGCTACATTGTTTCGCCGCTTCTGTATCATGCTAAGTTCGGCGCTTATACCAACTTGTGGGCTGGCCTCTCGCCAGATTTGCAAATTGAGGACGGAGGGAGGTTTATTTTGCCTTGGGGGCGTTTCCATCCGAACCCGAGGGCTGATTTGTTAGAGAATCTCAAGTCGAAAGAGCAGGGAGGAACGGGGACTGCTGCTGAGTTTGCGGAATATTGTGATAAAGTCATTGCAGACCACCAGTAGGTGCTCTTCTGTCACTAAATGCAATGTGCATCAAATCTTTACGTGTCAATTCAACTTTGCACCTTAGATTCAATGCCATATATTGACAGATTTATGCAAATAACGAGACATTAGGAGACAAATATTGACTTTGATAATTATCTTGCTACTCTCAATACTTGAGCCAATCTTCGACTCAATCACCGCCATGTTGACCTATAATAGATTCAGGTAGACTACCTGAGATCTACAGCTCTGGTGTGTAACCGATAGCCTTGTTCAAAGCATACACATCCCAGTAAAATGGCATGATGCTCTTGATAACCCCAGCCTCAAGATCAACCTGAATGACCTGGCACAGAGGGTACTTCAATTCCTCTCCAGTCTTGCGAACCTTGAGATGGAGATAGCCGAGCGAAATGATGCGGTTCGAGCCCTCCTTTTCGAATATTTCAGGGTTTTGGACATCGACTTTGTCAAAGTAGTCGGCCATAGCTTTTGCCCATTGCTGGAAACCATCAGGTCCAGTGTACTCGCCAGCGTAGGGTAGTCCAGATGATTGTTTGAGGCGAACTTCTTTTGAGAGACTTGCTGCCATGCCGCTGAAGTCGCGTTCTTCGGGTGGCGAAGCCATGTAGATGCGCTCGGCATCGTAGAATGACTCGAGGATTGATCGTGCAGTGTGGGTAGTGGTGGATGCCATCTTGGACGTTGAGGATAATAATTCTTCTGAGGGGAAATGATAGGTGGACAAACAATTGCTTATAGAAAGCGAAAACACAATGCGATATTACGGTCTATTTATCTGCTTGGCGAATAAAGTGCTGATTAACTGGGACCAAGCTAGCTGTAGAATTTTTGGGTTACATGCTGCATTATCGTCGAATGGAGATGGCTCGTCACTGTCTCCAGGGAGGATTCTCCAGGGACTTTTGACGTAGTTACCTGAATTGGCAACTGGGGGCCGGAGTTTTCGGAGTACAAAGTTGCCAGCTGCTAACAAATTTGTACTGACCGGATCTAAGCCTTGCCGATACAATTATTCCCACGATGGCTTGGAGATTGAGTTTCTAACCGTATTCTCATATAAATATGGCTTCTTCCCCGCAAGTAGCCAGCCTGTCTCTTGGCAAAGCTTGACTCGGCAAGGAATGCATGAATTGAACAAACAGGGAAAAGCTCAATCGAGACAGACACAGTTAGCACGTGGAACTTGTGACTTTGCGGGAAAGACACGATGGCTGAATCAGACTCGGAAATCTCTTGGTCACCGCTAATCGATTTCTAACCTTGTTATTTTGGTGACGGTGCCTGGCGTGACCTCATTTTCGGGTCCAGATGAAAGAGACTGGCCAACAAGAAGGCGAAGTCTCGATTTCTGGGGCGATGAGACTTATTCTAGAAGGGCTAGATCCCCCAGTTCACGGACCGTTTCCAGGTGACGTTGGAGGCAACTATGACGCAATGAGCACGAGGTTCACAGAGGGGGGACCACCCAAATTTTACGGCTACCACCTACCTCCAGTCCCTGTCCACTCTCTAGCATCATCTTGACGAATAAACCAACCAAGACATGACATGACTTCTCATACCACGATACAATGTCGAGCTCTGCAGAGCTGCAACGCGAACGCGAAGTGCAGGGTTACTTCCAGAGCTGGCAGATAGCGCAAGGTTCCTCTCTCAAGGTCGCCAGAAGTGTCGACAGCATCAGCGCGCCATCTCAGATCAATGACGCACACACACCTCAGCCCTCCTCCGACAAAGCGCTCTCGGCCTTTGCGCAACTCGCTGTCTTTCGTCTCAACGTGAAGCGCTGCATGGTCTCGCTCATCGATTCTTCTCATCAATACATTCTCGCCGAAGCCACGCGAAATCTGCGATTAGGGTCACTCGAAGCAGAACCTGGTGCCAAAAAGACCGACGACAAGAAAGACTCCAAAATAGCCGAATACAACAGCGACTTATGGTGTAGGTTGGACGATCTCTATAGTTGAGACAACACATCTCCTTCCTTTTATTCATGGCTAATTACTTGCAGTGGGAACTTCCATTCTCTCCCGCCCCGAAGCCGTTTGCGAGCACTGTCTACACAATACATGCACCGGTCGCGATCCCGATGGCAAAACATACACGGCCTCTGGTCTTATCGTTCCCGATTGTCGCCTCGATGATCGCTTCAAGTCCCGCGTATATGTCCAGTCCGAACCAGGTGTGCGCTTCTATGCTGGCGTGCCCATCTTCTCACGAAAAGGATACAAGATCGGAGCGTATGCTGTTTCAGACGAACAACCGCGCGATGGACTATCGATCGAGGATGTGAAGTTCATGCAGAGTGTTGCACAAGCCATCACCGAACATTTAGAATGGGCACGCGACCGTGTTGACAGGTTCAAAGGCGAACGCATCGTTCGAGGACTGGCGACCTTCATTGAAGGCTGCTCAAGTGACGACCCTATCTTGTCAAAGGAGGATCAGCCTCAGAGACCTTCGATTAAACGTCCCCCAGGCATGACAATAACGGCGACGAGACGCTCCTCTTTGCACAACACCATGCGCAAGGTCGATCCTGACTCGAACCAACGATCTCAGAAAGCTACGTCACCGCCTCGCAAACACAAGCCACAGACCGACGGTTTATCAAGAATGTATCATCGAGCGGCCGATAATCTACGATCTGCAATCCTCGCTGATGGAGTTGTGCTCTTCGGCGCCACAGCCTCAAACGTTCAACACCTGACTCGAGCGGTACAGATAGAACAGGGTGGTGCCACAAACGCTGAAGGACTGCCGACGCAGATCGCTGCAGAGCCCGATGCCTTCAGCACAGAAAGCTCCGACTCCGAGACATCACCGCTCTCAAGACCTTGCAAGCTTCTTGCTTACTCGTTGGCAGATAAGGGCAAACCCTTGGACCTCGAGCAAGGTCCATCCTTCTCTGTTGGAACTCTCGAGAGATACTTTTCACTCTTTCCCAAAGGAAAGACGTTCACTTTTACAGAAGAAGGGGCCGGTCTTTCGTCTGATGATGATAGCGCGAGTGATAGTAGCCCTGCTCCCGCTGGAGGGAAAAGCAAGCGACGCAAAGAAAAGATTGACCACAAGGAACTCCTTAAGAAGATTCCTGGGGCAAAAGCCGTTGTCTTCTTGCCATTGTTTGACTACGTCGAAGATAAACTTGTTGGCGGGTGTTTTCTTTGGACGTCGGTGCCGGGTCGCATGATGAACTTGGATGAGGACCTTTCCTACCTACGAGCTTTCGGTAACAGCATTACCAGTCAAGTCGGACGAATAAATACACGAAAGAACGAAGCAGCAAAAACTACATTCATCGCCAGTATGAGCCACGAGTTGCGAAGTCCCCTACATGGCATCTTGGGCGCTGCTGAGTTCCTCAAAGACGCAGTAACCGACTCGTACGAAGCCGGGCTCGTCAACTCGATCGCGACTTGTGGAAAGACACTTCTTGATACATTGAACCACGTGCTCGACTTCAGCAAAATAAACAATCTCGGCAGCGGGAATTTGAGAAAAGGCGCAAAGCACAGCAAGGTCATTAGCCTCTCTTCTGATTCGATGGAAAGCCTCAATATGACGGCTTCAGTAGACCTCTCCATTCTTGTCGAGGAGGTTGTCGACGCCGTGGCAACTGGTCACAACTTCAAAAGGCTACCCAGGAAGCAACAAGACGATGCAATATTGGGCGGCAAGGATAGCCAAGCAGCCCCAGAACCAGGAACCGATCATCCTGTATCAATCCTTCTGGATATTAGCCCGAGGGCATCATGGATGGTCAAGACACAGCCTGGCGCCCTTCGAAGGATTGTCATGAATCTGTTCGGTAACGCGCTCAAGTACACAGCGTTGGGCTTCGTACTTGTCTCGGTACGGGCGCAAGAGATCAGCGGCGATTCTAGAATAGATGTCTTGATCCGAGTCACGGATACCGGAAAAGGAATGTCGGAGGATTTCCAACAGAATCGTCTCTTTGTTCCTTTTAGCCAGGAAGATTCATTCCAACCTGGCACCGGTCTGGGCTTGAGTATTGTTAAACAGATTGTGGATTCACTAGGAGGAACGCTCGAGGTCAAGTCGGAACAGGATAAGGGTACTGAGATTGAAGTCCGACTCCGTCTCGAGCCAGTTTCTCAAGAGAACCCAAAGCCGGAGGAGCCTATGGCTTCCATGGTTGAGCAACTTCGGGGAAGATCTTTGGTGCTTCTAGAAGCAAGCGAAGACTTTCATTCGAAAACTATCACTAAACAAGTCGAGGTGCGCAACGAAGCCTTGATGGAACTCTTCTCAAGTTGGTTCAACATGAAGGCTGCAAGAGAGGTAGATACAGATGTACCCAAAGCCGACTTCTATCTCTATTGTGAACCCCCATCCGCGAAAACTCTGGAAAAGCGTTTCGAAGAGACTGCGATAGATGGTGGTCGCAATAAGAAAGCGCCCATCATCATCATCAGTCTGAATGAAGAGGAAGCGGCAAAGATATCAAGAGCTCAGACTAAGGCTTTAGCCAGACTATCAGATGTGGTTGAAGTCATTCCACAACCGTAAGTCATAGCCTCGTGCAATGCTATATGGATGCTAACGTATACTCAGATGTGGCCCTAGAAAGCTCGCCCAAGTATTCAGCCGGTGTTTGAACAGGATTGGGGAGGTCAGAGAAGATGATGACAACAGATATCCGATCCGCAGTGCGCAGACAGACGGCAAACAGTCAAATGAGCAGAACACTCCGGACAGAGAGGACGCAACAGAACAGATGAACTCGAAATTGCATCAAAACAAAAATAATAAACCCGACTGGGCTGAGACTACTACGTCGCCATTACCACGAGGAAAAGAAGACCAGAGCCGCCCCAAAAACGACAGTCGGAATAATGGCAAGAATAACGAAAAGAAGGAGAGTAATGAAGAGTTCAGGAAGGAGGTGAACAATAAGTCTTTGCAAAATACACGAAAGCAAAAGAAGCCAGAAATGCCAGGCAAGGCACACGTCCTACTCGTCGACGACAACAAGATCAACCTTAATCTTCTGACAATGTTCATGAAGAAGTGCGACTTCACCTACGAGGAAGCCGAGAACGGAGAAGAGGCCGTCGATGCGTTTAAAAAGTCGACAATCGGCGACGCAGAACCGGGGGCACCCGTCAAGAAGCACTTCGACTACATCCTTATGGACATAAGCATGCCCGTCATGAACGGCGTCGAGGCGACAAAGAGGATACGCAAGCTCGAGGCCGAGTACAAGGTTCCGCGGACGACGGTGTTTGCGCTGACGGGGCTTGCGAGCGCGGATGCGAGGCAGGATGCCATGTCGGCGGGCGTGGACCTGTTTTTGCCCAAGCCGGTCAAGTTTGCTGAGTTGAAGACGATGATTGAAAATAACTAGATGTATATACGATGAATTATGTGTACTTGTTTATGATAGATGTGTAATAGAAGACGTGGAATGGTTGAAGTCGAGTGTGTGACGTGGTGATTTGATGATTGGAGCTGTCTTGACCTGACAAGGATCAAACCAAACAGCCTAGGTTTACACTGATTGACTTGTCATGGTCCATTTGCTTGGGTTCTCGTAACGTCGCTATCAACTTATCGCTGCCTTGACAGGGCTGCAAAGTACTAATCCTCTCAGACCTCGATTGAGGCGGCGCCCGGGCCAGCCAATTCACTCAAGCACTACAAAACTTTCGGACCACATACTCAAAGGAAATTGTTGTAGACAGGTAGGGTTACAATACAGAAGATACCTTTCAGCCGATCAGCCAGCGTGATAGGTCCGTGGTGAATTTGCTCAATGAAAGCCCTCCCAACATCGCTTCCCCTTCTTGCCAAGAGCAGACCCGACGCCCAGACAGACAGTAGGCCGTGATTATATGGCCACAACCCTCAGTGAGTTTTGCGGAAGAGGTCCCACGAGTCTTGGCTGTGTCCAGTGAGCCTGGGCAGATTCGTGAGACGGCGGTACATCAATTTGTGATCGATCCGCAGTCTGTAAACGAGTGAGCAGGTGGCTGAGAGCAAGTTGATCAAGTTCGATCTCAATTACTAGGGCGTTTGTGCGAATAATCTTTGATAGAGTTCTCTGGGCCTTTGTCAGATGCTCCAATGATATTGTTTTAGTGTTGGTGTTGTGTTGTGCTGTGCTGTGCTGTTGGTCGCGCTTGGAAAGAGGCACTGCCAGTGTCACTCCCCTTCAACTCCCCAGCCTGGACAGCTCAACCACGATTTCTCCTTCTGGCAGCTACAGTTAAATCTCTGCCTTTCCGTATTCTCTTCATCGCTTACTTGTCTCTGTCTCAACCCATGGCATTGCCCATTACGCAAGTTCGCAAGCAACTCATTGTCGTTCGAAGCGCTAGAAACATGGTATAACAGAAATGCAAAGCGGGCAATAGCCCATTTCCTCGCGACGGCCTTTCCAACGGCCACGAACCCTACGGCAGCTGTGTCTATGCCATGCCGGCTCTCACTTCTCCTTTGGTAAGTTACATCGCCGCTCTCTACGGATATGAGCACCGTGCTAACATCTCATGAGGAGCCGCGACACAAACCCTTCGCACTTGGGCGACGACAGACAGCGATAACATCTTGGATTCTAGATACGATACTGGTTGTCCTGGCCTATGTGTTCCCCCTCAAGAGTAGAGTCCTCGACTTGCTGTTCCGATCCCGGCCCCTGCGTCGTCACAAGCGTCAACGATGGTTGCATTTCGTTTCCCCGGCGGTGATGGGCATTCCGCAACCAAGTCCGCCAAATGGAAGAAGACTTTCATCCGCCTGCAGACTCCTGGCAAGAGAAAAGACGAGGACTTTGAGGGTCAGGCTTCTTCTACACCTCATGATTCGCCGGTTTATTCGTCTAAGATCAATTGTGCCGCTGGGTTCGCATCTTATAACCATAACGGCAATGCTCCAAACATGGTCATTCAGCCGGGATAAGAAACCTACGAGCATCTCGTTCGCTCCAGAGCAGCGAGACATTCTTTTTCCCCAAGCGATAGGCGGTATTCACAAGGCAGGGATATAGAAGTTGCCATCATCATATGGAGCGTATCGATCTGCCTCAGGTGCCCTTGCCAAGGGACACCAACTCAATGGACCGTACATTGTATGATCCGTGTACAGAAACTGCTTTCTCATGACAAACCTATGGAAGGACCTGGAGATCTGGGCGACTCGATTCAGATTTACGCTGGAGTCTTTCACATAACCCTCGACTGCAACCCATCACTCATGGCTTTCTCGGGACAGTTCTTGGTCTGCGCATCAAACAGCAGCATCAAGCCCAATGACCCTATCTCAAGGCTTCCATGCATCGGGGCAGCGCCCAGTTCTCCTCACGCTCCAAGGAACCCATCCGAAGTGGGCTGGATATATCTTCAGACATTCTGGTAATTAACACCGCTCTACGCCGAGAGCGAGCTCACGAGGTCGACTTGGAGAAGTCACGAAGATACCGGGCTAAACAGCGCGCTGTAGACCCGACCGGGTATGTAAAGCGTGTTAATGCAGATAAGGCAGCATGGGGGCAAAAGAACCCGCAAAAGGTGTTAGGCATCGCCGCAAGGGTCAGAAGCAAGGCCAAAGACCCAAAACGCTTTTTTTACGAGGATTGCAATACGAATTTGCCCTTGCCTCTCATCTAGAGACCGATGCACATGCTAAAGGAGTGGCCAATGTGCCATTAGCCCCGCTATCAACCTATGCACAGCATGCGAAGGCTGTGCGGCAAGCAGCAAAAGCAAGTGGGAAACATCGATGCACTACGTGCAATAAATCCTTCAGTCACAACTGGGATTTGGAACGGCACATGGCAACTGGGCTGCACAAGCGGCGAGCTGCGGAAACTGCGGCTCTATAACACGATTAGCACGGCTTTTTAGACTTGCACTGATATTATTACAGCTTAGGTATGGTAGCAGAACAGTTCCGTGAAGAAGGACAGGATATACTGCTTTTCATCAATAACATTTTCCGTTTTACTTAGACCAAGCTTTCAATGATGGATACACTCTCTCCCATGCTGGTCTATTCTCAGCGTCCTATGGATGATGAGGCTGAAGTAAGACCCAAAATCACTCTCCAGACCATCTACGATACCTTAGAAAAGTCTCCAGTGTGGAAGGACAGTGACAGTTTGCCTGACAGTTTTCTAGAGATCTGGGCTAGGAGGTATAGACGGGAGGGCTGGGACGGTCCCATAGAAGTTGTGATAGTGGTCCTGGTATTGACCCTGGGGTCACAGAGACTTCGACATCGAAAGCACGGCTGCATAGATAGATCGGACGTAGCGAATGGGTGCATAGGGGGTCCCAAAATGCGTTCTCTCGCGGCCAGGTTTCGAATTCAGAGAGTAAATGTCCGTAATAAACGGCCGACAAGCATGAAAAATTAGGGTAAAATAACCTTCCAGTGGGAGAAGCCGAGCGCGGAGACGCGCGGTGAACCCGTCATCGGGCATGGATGTCCAGCATAGTAGGCCAGAATGGGTGAGAGTAAAACCGTCTTTATAAGCTTGATCCACGAAGGCAGGTGATCCTTTAGCTGATTCATTGTAATATTCAAGGCATGATTTAACTCCTTGGGATGTACATGTCCCAGATTTGCAGTAGAATCGTGGTTTGTATCCGGGTTTCTGGAACCAGAGCCCATAAATGCCCCATACTTTGGTAGGGGGATAGGAGCCAGATTTGTAAACGTGGTTGGGGAAGATGGTTTGAAGGAGTTAAGTGTATGGGTGACAGAGGGGGCAATGGATAAGGGATATCAAGTAACTAACTCAGCATACACTGTTTCGTCTCCGCAACAGTAACAAGAGTAATGTGTGAGACATCATAGTAGAGTCCCTGTGGTTTATTCATTGAGATCGCATATGGCAGAAATGGTAACCCGCCAGACGAAATCCAGGGTGCTTGTCTTGATACTCGTAAATATTCCTATCTCACCCGATTACAACACAATCGACATTAAATTTAATTTGAGTAAACAGTATAACTCTTTTCAAGGTATAGAAGAAACAGAGATAACTTGTGAGCCCTACCTTCGCCGCTGTCATCACCTCTTACGATGTATTGGCTTCACCCTTTTCTGCTGCTGGCTTTGCTGCTCTCGAGCGAGTTTTGTCTGGTAGGACCCCTCCTCTCATGGCTCAGTTCTTCGGGGCGGAATAAGTCGGCGATTCCAGACATGCGAGAATCATCGCGACAAGAATATCTCAATCTCTCATGAGCAAGATCGGGTACCCCTTTCCGGGCCCGCCATGGTGCAAACGCTGAAGAAGCTTCATGACCCGCTTCGAAGATCGTAGAACGCTGGTGGCAGTTCTGACTCTGGAGTATCTTCTCGCTCAAACAGGCCTTAAATTATTGATCCCAGGCGTTCTTTTTTTATGCTGAAAGGCACTGGCATATGTAGAATTGGACTCCTGATTTTTTGTTAGACCATCGATGTGGGGGAAGTTGTCTCGCGGGTCTTGAATGAGAAGATATTGGTGAGAGATCGTGTAAACTTCCCCTAAACTACCACTAGAAGTCTTCAGCAGGGCCAAAGCTCAGTTGCGGTCGACGTGAGTTGCGAATAGCGTCTATTACATCGAAGTTGGTGCCACCAGTCACCAATGCGATGCTCATCTCAAAGAAGTACTACTACAGTAGGAACATCTATCCACAACACTGGGTCCAGTGCGGTACAGTTCTGGCTATTTGACAAAGTTAAGTTGAAGCTATGTACAAAGAACGGTAATACCGGTCTCCTCCAGTGGAGTATACCCCCTGGTCTTCTCATCCTCTCGTTGCAGGCCGAATGCCCTGCGGGTTCCAAAACATATCATTCCGGTCATACGCTCTCTTGAGCTCCCTCAATCTGCCCAAGTTCAGTTCATAGTACTGCTCAGCGGCATCCATGTTCTCCAATTGAGTATCCAAGTAGTTCGCATACATGCCCCAGTCTGAGTCGTCCATTGTCTTGGTGATGCTCTCTCTGAATCTCTTGAGCAGTGTGAAGCCGTTGTTTGCATACTTAGCGTAGTTTCCGTGGTCAGAGAACTGGAACAGCAGAAGTTTGTCACGATGGGGGAATGCGCTGTTGGTGGAACCGGCGGTTGTTATGGCTGAGTTGGGGCCGCCGAAGAGATCCATGTGGATGTACCATGTGTGCCGGGCGTCGCGGTCATTGATGTTGTCGAAGAGGGCCCTGACGAAGGACTTGACCTGGGCTCGGGTGAGGGCTTTGGTCATGAGACTTGTGCTGTAGAATGTGCTATGCTATGAAGTTGTTAGTGGTAACCATTATGAGCATGAGTGCAACTACTGACCTGGTCGTATGGGCGTCTCTGATCGAGGTTCTGGCCATTAGCATAGGCCTTCAATCCCTCAATCCAGCCTCCAGTGCTCGAGGCCGAAATCTGTGCTTTAATATCTCCAAGAAGAGGCTTGAGCGCGTTATTCAAAGCCGCCCTAGTTCCATAGTAAACACCCTGAATGGTCTGTCCCGAAGGCCCAATGTAGATCTGCATATTCAACTGCTTCGGTGCGTTCACACCAAACTTTTGAAACGCAATCAGTCCCTCGACAGCTTGGTTCTCGTTCCAATCAAGTTCAATACTGAACGGCGTGACTGTATCAGGTGCTTTGATCGTTTGGAAGTCGAGTTCAACTACGATCCCGTAAGAAGATCCTGCACCACGGAGAGCCCACATGAGTTGGTTATCTCCGCCTTCGCCATCTGCAGCGTATGTTCGTGTTCCGTTGGCAAGGATCACGGTGGCGCCGATGAAAGTGTCAAGTGTGAGGCCATAAGTTCGTGAGGCGTATCCATAGCCTCCATGAAGAGCATGACCTGCAATACCAACACTAGCTCTGTTAGTCTTTGTATGTTCTTGATGACGGTGCGTTCCTTACCCTGGGCAGCTTCCGTGGGGAATAGCTCTCTGACCAAACTTGTACAACTCCGAAGCAACATGTCCAAGCCGAGCACCGGCCTGGATGTTACAGCTCATGTACTTGTTCAACGTAACCTGGTCCATAGAATCCATCACGATAACGAGGTGGCCATTCTCACCTCCGTAGCCGAAGGAACCATAACTATGGCCGCCTCCTTTTGCGCTGACTCGCACCTGGTACTGATTACCGCACTTGACGGCATCTTGAACATGATCAACAGTGGTAGGCAGGGCAACAGCAGCAGGAGTGTAAGCCAGACGAAGATTGTAAGGTCTAACTTCTTGGTTCCATTGGGCCGAGTTGGGGCGGATGTAGGGAACTTTCTTGGAGGCGAGACAGTTGTTAAGAGCACTTGATGTGTTGGCCGGTGAAGTAGAGGCTGCAAGAGCAAGAGCTGCGTGGAGGCAGATGAGGAGGAAGGACACCATCATGGCGAGAAGAAGAAGCGTATGAGCTCTGTCTTGGAGACATCTTCTATTGGGAGGTCGAGGGCCTTATAAGCTTGGGTTGACCGCTGCTGCGAACACGAGATGTCTCATTCTCAGCCGTTTTACTTGGTCTGCGCATATTGAGGCTGCTTCTTTACGAGGTGGAAGCGGAAATGATCCATGCATAACGGGATGCGATTGCAAGGAGTTGTTCAAGAGCTGAACTCAGCTCTGCGCCGGGGTTGAGTATGTTTCAAGTACACGTTTTCCCTCAACCCATCGAAAGGCTCTTCAAGACCTCACCACTGCAGTACTGGACTGCCAATTAACATCGCCAGTGAAATAGATGCATGCAATCACCCTCACAAGCATACAAACACAACTCACCATCGACGACATCCTCCGCCAACTCCAGACTTGAATGCACAGTGATAGCATATCTCAAGCTCTCTGCTTTCGTAAAAAGAAACAAACAACGCGTATCGCGATGTTCCGATCGTCCCCTGAGGCCCTCCAATAGAGTGACACCAACCCCAGTTTCGTCTAGCACAACCACGCATGTCAGCAATTGTACCACCAACACTTCCCGTCTTCTCTCCCGAGACAACTCAGACCACGTTCTCTCCCTACTTCATACTTTATTGCATCCAGAAGACAGCAGAGAAGGAGTCCAGGTCTAATTTCAAGGGATACCCCTATCAACAAACCAGTCTCTTTTGTAAGTGTATCATAACCCTCAATGCAAGAGTCTTGAGTCTTCTAGCATCACTAGAGCACTCACATTTCTAGTCACTCAGTGGTCTAGTCTTGTTGCACGTATGTACCCTCTGCTCGAGTCCATCTGCACCCCGTTTTCGTGGTTAAAATAACTTTCCAGTTTCTCCGATCTGATTAGCTGAGCGAGCAAGCCGTCATATTACACAACTTTCTTGTGCGAGGATCTAATGCCAGGGACCGAGGCCCAATTGAGAGTCTCCCTCCAACACGAAGGGGAAGCTCCACGAGATGTGTGAATGCAATAATAGAAGGCGTGGCAAGCCATGAGTTATGGTTATATCAACATCCCCAGCTTCTCAAAACGAGAGCTGAGGATTGTGCTTCCACGAGGCTCCAGGACAGCTCAACACACACACTACGACGGACAATCGTCGATCGCTCCCACGTTTCCCTGGTCTTTCATGAGTGACCCTTTTCTCCATCTGTCAGACAGCATCAAGTCCTTTCTCGCACCACATTTCAATCCGCAAATAAGGCTCTAACAACTCTCCAAGTCCCTTTGTTCAACGCAGCACCGCGACTGCCCCTCCTTCAATAAGCTCTGCTGATCTCTGATAGAGTGAATGCTGTGGATGTCGTGCCAGAAGGTGGTGCTATCGTGACGCCTATTGCTCGCTTCGTATAATGTCTTCGGCTATGGGTATTGCTGTCACTTGTCCGCGCGTCAATCTTATCGTATACTCTACGGTAAAGGTGAATGAGGGAGTCTTAACCGCCACCAATGTTGATGCATTGCAGTGTAGCCACGAACTCGGATCCGGACCCGATGCCAGAAGAGGGACTGGTCAGTCAGCTTTTAGAGTTGAGAAGTTTGTGTGTACTCTGCTTCTTGAGTCCACGGCTCTATCCAATATAGGCATTGAAATGTCTCTGTCCACAATGTGAAATGGTTCAGCCTCCAATCTCAGAAACAGTTAGAGTAGCATCACCCTCACGAGTATGAGCATCACGACAGCACCACTCCAAAGCCAATTCACATCATAGCACTCTTATCCCAATCATATTCTCCCCTCTATATCTCCTCCTCCTCCTCACAACCTCCCCACACGTCAATGTAAACACTGTAACACAGCATCACATTGACACATCCCCACAACCACCAAGTGAAACACTTCCCCAGAAACTCCCAATCCAATTACACGCGCAACTTCTCTGTAGACCACGCGTGCTGCAGTGAATCACTGCCAGCTGTTCAAATGAATCAGAGCGCGCTACGGTATGCGAATTGTTCCTCCACCAACACAATAGAGAGGCGCGAGGGCAGTGAATCATTGTCTCTCCACCAAATCTCAGCTATATAAGACCTCTCTTTTCCTCTCATGACCTTCCCTTCTCCCTCATCATCAACAACTTCCACTCCTTCAAGCCACACAACTCAAAGCCTTCAAGCACATTACATTCCCTCAACACACATCACACTCTCTCCACACCACAAGCTCAAAACAATCTTTTTCTTTCAAGATGTTACCCAAGCTCTTCCTTCTCGCTCTTCCCCTCGTCCTCGCAGCTCCGGCTGTCAAGCGCACCGAGGGCGACATCACCTTCTACACCCCCGGCCAGGGCGCCTGCGCTGGAACCCACGGCGTCGACGACATGGTCGCCGCTGTCGGTGCCAACCTCTACGACACTCAGGATGTCTGTGGCAAGACCATCACCCTCCAGGGCGATGCTGGTACCGTGACTCTCACTGTCGTCGAGTAAGTTTCTACCACCTCCCTTCCATCATGAACACTGCTAACATTTGTGGTACAGCCGCTGCGAGGCCTGTAAGGACACCGACCTTGACGTCTCCCCCGCTGCCTTTGAGCAGGCCATCGGACCCCAGGACATTGGACGCGGCAAGGGAACTTGGGTTTTCGTTTAAACACCAACAATCTTTTCATGAGACCACGACAACTCAACGACTTTCTCTTCTTGTACACTGGTTTTACAACGGCCCGAACATAAGGGAGGCATTTTGACGGAGGCACGAATGATGAACTGCTAGTATTAGCAAGGCGAAACAGAACGAACTCAATACAGTTCAGTTAAACTCACTCTTTGCTCCTCATAAAATGTGACATGCGCCGCCTTCATTGAATGTGTGAATTGATTCTGTCAATCTATGCTAAACTCGCTTTGATGCTCCCAAGCTATCATGATTTAGCTAATGCCGAAATACGCCCCTGATCCATTGCCTGAGCCACCCAATCCATCCGCCCAAGAAAACAAACCGCAGTGCCCATGATACGAATAAGAAAATCCAACGCCTGGTTGTGTTGTGCCTGTGATACATCATGCCAGCACTCGGCTGTGGTGCGTGTGAGCATTCTGACGCCCCGCTAAGAAATCCAGTGTATGCAATTTGTATGCCGTGATAAATCCAAATCTCCTAGCCTTGTTTATTTTTAAGACCGAACCACCTTCTCTTGCCTCCCGCTCTGGGGCTATCTACTTGCTCTGAAGCGTCCCTGTCCATCCTTGGTGTACCTGGGGTCCCTGGCTCCTGGCTCATGATGGAGTCGTCGCCCACGTCAATGGAGGTATGTCGACCGTGGCGGGAGCTTCGCATGATTGGTGGTGGTGTCGCACTGTCGCGGTCTTCGTCTGCCACGCCCGTTCGGCTGATCCATGGCGGAAGTCCTGATGCGCCATTAACGCTTGAGGAGAGTCCATTGCTTGGTGGTTCAGTAGGTCCAGTCTCCGTTGGAGTCGGGGACGGGGCAGTAGTTGACGATCGGCGGAAGAACTTTGCGAACTTGTTCTGAGCTGGCTGGCCTGAAATGGGTGGATAATGGTTCTTCTTCTGTTCCCCGGCAGGCGGTCCTTGAGCCTGCATTTCCGCTCTCATCTGAATGTCGTCGCTGTTCCTCCTCTGATGTCCCTTCTTACGACCCGACTTAGAGGCTTTCGGATTGGTAGGTGGACGACCGGGGTTAGAGATCTTGAGCTGTGCTACTGTCTGAGCATTCAGGCTCGATCGTCTGTTGGGAGGTGGTGGAGGCAGTGAGGCCGAGAAGAGTTCCTGCTGGACGGGGAATAGATTTCTGATCATTTCAGAGTCGGTGCCTATGCTTGCACCTCCAGCGCCGTACATGGCTTCCATCGACCAGCCACCCTTGGTCGCGCTCGAAGGAAAGCTGAACAGATCAGGCGAGGTTCGCCCACCGTTCTTATTAGGCTTGGCGCTCTCGCGCATCCAGATATCGAGGCTCGAATCGAGGGAATCTACGTCTGATTCGTCGGTATCGCTATCCCAATCATTTCCTCGTCGGTTCGATATGGTAGTTTCGTCAGCGGATCGGGGACGCTGGATAGACCTTCCCCGGTTCTCGGCGTAAGCTCTGTTGTTCAGATCGATAATATGAGCCGAAGCCTTGACTGCACGTATGGGTTCCTGTAGTTGAACACCCGAGTGCATTCCCATGCTTCCTTCATTGTCAGATGTCTCCGAAAGAGCACCGTGGCTTCGTTGCATTGTGGGATGCTTGGACAATGTGTCACTGGAATTCTGGAACCGTCGCAAGGTTGACGTAGAAATGGTGTCCGGCGTTGGTGGCAGATTCTGATCATGTAGCCTGACACCACCAGGAGCATCTGTGATGACTCTTCGAAGGGATTCACGCTTCTCCTCCTTGGTACGTCGGTGGTTGACGGGCATAGCAGAACGACCAGTAAACACATCGGCTCCATCCCTATCCCGACCTTGAGGTCGTTCTTCCACCTTCTTCGAAGTGTAGCTTCGCTCACTCTTTCGTGCAGGAGAGTTATACTCGATTACGTTATTGATCGAATCAAACTGCGCTTGATGAGTCGAGAGAGAGTTCGATCGAGTTGATCTATTAGGTGAGGCATGCGACTTGACAAAGGCCGTCTTTGGCCTGTTGATAGTACTAGCCTGAGCTGGAAGACTATCAGCACCATCAAGAGCAAGAGGCTCGTCCACATCTTGTATGCCACTGCTGTCATGCTCTTTGGATCCATACACGCTGACAAAAGAGCTCTCGCTCAAAACGCTCAGGCTTGGGCTGCCCAGGGCTGTGTTACGGCCGTTATCAGCTTCATTAGAGCCTTCAGGGACTTGCGCAAGACTGAGAATGCTACCCCTGGTACCAAGATAGACATTTCGTAGGTTCTCCGTTGTCTCGCTGTGGTCGGAGAGGAAACTCGGCATGCGATTGATGGCCTTGCCACTTCCCATTTGCTTCATCATATCCGGCGATTGAGTGGCCGGTCTGGGATCTTCATAGCATGGGTCGAATGTTGGTGCGGCGTATTGTCCTTCGGCTTCAAGCTGCTCGATGATGGAACGTTCTTTGGTATATTGCTCAAGTCTGGCTTCGAGCGTCACGATCATAGCAACAGCCTCCTCAATTGCCTTATCGCGCTTCTCTAACTCTTGAGAAAGGTGGTCGTTCATCTCTTCAGCTCGTGACTTTTCCACCTCGAGGGATTCGACCTTGTCTTCCAATGCCTTCTGTCGTTCCCGGCGGTGGTACAGTTCTAGTTTGAGGTCAAAGTTCTTCTTGTGAAGTGATGATATGACCTGCCTTCATGTTAGCCAGCTCCAACAGTATGCCATGTTCATTATCCTACCTGTTCCATATCCTTTACCCCCCGTCCATTCTTTTTGTTGGATTCACTTCCAGCGGCAGAATTAGGTCGTCCATCGGCCTCCATATTCTTAATAGGAGAACCAAGGCTCCGACTAAACTCGCCTGAAGAGTTGACATCAGTGCTGCGTGACCATGTCGTCGATCGGTCGCTCTCAGCCATGCGCGATTGCTGAAGCTTCTCTTGAAGGAATGATGATATGACGGTTTGCCGTGTTGACTCGCTGCTAGCCTCTCGAGTCAAGCGTGGCGTCCGCGTTGTTGTTCGGGGAATGGTACTGGATGGTCTTTGACAAGTCGCATGGTACAGTCGGTGTGAGTGTTGCGATTGAGAAAGATTGGGAGATCCAGGAGCTTGTGACGAAGACAAAGCGCTATGAGCGGTATGCATTGTAGCTCTGGTATTGGTTGTGCTTGTAGAGGATCGAGAAGCGGTTCTTCCATAAGAAGACCGCGAAGGGGGTCGTTCCATCGTGGGACGATGTGAGGGTATTAGGTATCAAGACGGATTGGGTATCGAATTCGTAGGTAGTGTAGCCAAACGCAGAGGAACAGTCCAGCTTGAACCTCAAAGGGCAAGCTCAGTTTCGCAAACAGATATTAGATGTACAAAGAGTGATCGGATACAGTTTCGAGACGTCTATGGCATATCGAATTGATCGCGTGTCTTGGGTTTAGATCACGATGAGCAAGCTTGATTCACTTCATCGCGGACTGTGCCCAACAGCTTTCGGGTATTGTCGCAGGAAGCGAATTAGATGCGTAAGATACTGCTTTAACAATGATTGGCGTAGCTTGTCTTGCGTTTGTGGTCGGTCGGTTGCAGATGGCCTATAGAGTACGTTCAGGCTCTGCTTTCAATGCTTTTCCAACAAAGACAATTGTCGCAAAGGAGTATGCACAATCTCGGTTCGTTTACGTCAGGAGGGTATGACAACCGAAGACGATAGAGAGCGTCTTAGGTGACGTGATGTTGGACAAACAGGTTCAAGGCCGATGATCAGAGAGTAAGGATGTATAGAGGGAGAGAATGGCAATCGTTGGGCTCGTGGAGGTTCGGATTTCCCGTGGTCTTGGTGGGGAGTAAGGGACAGGAGGTTGTCGATGCAAGGGAGAAAGGTACGTCGGGTACGTAATGCGTAAGGGTCAAAGATAACGCACGGAGTAGACGTCGATCCAATCTCGCGATCTCTAGGTTCACAAGCAAGGGCGAAAGCAAAAAAGACAAGACGTGGATGTTGCGAAGATCACAGAGAGGAACAAACAGGAGAGAAAATTGGTTTGTGTAAGGGTATGTCTGAGAATGGTCTTATTTGGCAACCCTCCAAGTCAACTTTTTTGCTTCTGTCCGAGGTGCTCAGCCAAATCGATTCATTCATTCCAGGCAATGGCACAGTGGACACCACCCGCTGAGAGACTAAGGCACAGAGAGTTGGGTCTAAGGGTACCCCCGCATTAGCGCCATAGCAAAAAGTCAGGCACCAGAATTAGCGTGTTAGTGCCGGGACGTCTTGGGGGGGTATTGCGAGCTAGCCCTTGACATAAAACGCTAGATTCACTTCTGCCGAGTTGGGTTGAGTAGGGTTACAGTGGCAGTGGCAGTGAAAGGGCGCGTCTTAATTTACAGATGAATCCTTGGACGTGTTTTTTACGTGTCGACGTGTGGTGTAAGACACATAACGCGATGGCCAGGGATCGTTTTTACGGTACCTATTACCGGCTGAAGAGTGGGGGACAGGACTGAAATGCTTACGAGCCTTGTTTTTAATCGACATTGCATTCTTGAGCACGTGAACCAATCTAAAGCCCGATTCTGGCCTGTGCTGTTTATTTACAGGATGGTTACCAGAGCAAACATGACATCTAATCTCGACTTTCATCTCTCTCTCATGCCATTGAATCAATCAATCGTCTTTGTTAACCTTGAATGTCAGTCAATGTCAGATTCTCTCCCTCAATCTTATTCACAACCAACCACTTCAGAACTCTCACACCACTAACAGCCTCTCCCATCCCCGCCCGTCACCTCCAGCACTTTGTCACCAATCATAGACAGTTCCACCGGCCTGGGGAGCATGAACCCCCGGGTCCCGGCGGGCGGGCCGTGCTCCGAGCAGGGGAGAAAACTGACCCATGTCGTCACTTTTCTTCTTTTCTCTTCAGGCGCTTCGCTTCCTTCGTCTGCTGTGATTGTGACTGCGAATTCATGTGACCAATTGCTTTGCTTCTGTGGGAGGACGTTTTTCCTTAAACGATCAAGGTTTTCGGATGTGGCTTGATAAGAGAGAACAAACATGCAGCAGGGAGCAAACCGTTCACTCACCCTCGGGAAGCAAGAAAACACCAGACTTTAGTATAGGGTGCAAAATAAACTCAGCAAAAGACATCCTAAATTTATGCAAATCTACCTAAGTCTTTTTGTCATTTAGGATCAAGGTCCTGAGTTTTCTTTCCTCCCCTACCTCCGTAGACTCATTATTAATTAATCCCTCCAATTGTTTGTTTCATGTTGTCCTAGACATCAGCCACTGAACCAGCATCTACTGAACCCCCTCAAGGGTTATTGGTCTTACCCGCATCAATTATCACTCACAAGAACTATATCACCCAATTATTAAGATCCATCTCGTATTAGCTCTTGCGAAGAACCCACCAGAGGAGAAATCTTGCACCATGAAACAAGCGGTCTTGAAGCCGTCCTCAATCCGTACGCATCGGTCCGCTTAGAATGTTTGCTAGCTTCAGGCTTCAAAGAAAAACTCCGTCCCGTCGCGACCCAAACTTGCCCCTCCAAACTCAAAGTAGTGGACTTGACTTAAACCTTTGACGGAATTAGTTCAGGATCTAGACAACATTTCTTGCTCCGATTGCCGCAGGCCGTCTCACTCAAGCCATTCCCGCTGTTGCCGTGGGACTTGAGACGCTCAGACTTGAGAGTATCAACCGCATTCAACAGATGGAAACTCTTGGATTTCGAGAGAGTTCTTCTAAACCGTAGTCTTCTCGTTTATATCTGCGCCAAGTGGAACCCTGGCTTCAACGGCTGAGGTCTGCATACCGCCTATTGGCTGGCCGCAACTCAATCGTACAATCTTGAGCAGCGAATGGTGCAATTAAGAGCAAACATTTTCCAAGCGGTCTATGGCGGCTAACGTATTCCTGGTCTGTACCTTGCATCAGATCTAGACCGCAAACTACACCCAAGATGTTCAGCCATGAACTAAATAACTGACCATCCATAGAACTACTCTTTGTTCAACTACATGGCGCCTGACTTGTATGACTGCGGCATTCCAAATCCCTTGCCACGCAGTTGTGTGTCCAGCTGACTGCAAATACCCGGCCGCAAGCATCGTCATCACCATGACAATTCTTTTGACTTCGTCGAAGTGGAATCTGGTTATATTGCCCCCCGGCAACTTACCGTGTCTTCTGGAAAGTTGGACGGATTTATGCACGACTATGTGCTTGCCACCTCCGGTAAAGAATGATGAGCAGAGATACCTCTGATCACTTTGTCTGAGACTACCGAGACATTGTCCCACGCTTCTCGTTTATCTCAAACACGGTAGTTCACTCTTGGGGGCTAGCGGGGGATCATCACACTTATCACAGTCACTCAAAGGACTTGACGTAGACATTCGGATCCTTGGTCACGGAGGGCGCAGGGCGCATAGAAAATTGAGGGTGTGAAGAGAATCGGATGTGATAAATTCTCAATCACAGCATAGCAGTCTAGTCACTCAAAATCAATGGGCGCGAATGTGTTTGCCAAGGCCGTACTTCGTGACGGCATACTTCGATGTGAAGATCTCTCAGATCATCCTCGCACACCATCACTTGCCCAAGTACGCTTTCCCGGTTATCTCAACAAATGCAAGCGAGGAGAGCATAGAGACCCTCAAGGCAGAAGAGTCTCTTTCAAGAGTCGTCTGGAAGAAGTGTTTGTAATCGAGGAGCATGCCAAAGCAAAGTATTCATCCAAGAAGACGAGGTTTATTTTGGCCTAGCGTACGCCAACGAGGGGAATTCCCTTCCTCAATCTGTCTGTGACCGTGGGCCGAGATGATACTGAGTCGGTTCTCTTTACTGGCTGACTGAAGTTCAAATGGACGTTAAGGAAGTGCGTAAAGTTGCAGATGGTTAACGATCTGTTTCTGGCATAGAACATGCCATAAAGGCAATACATAGTGATCATGTACCTTCAAAAAGGCAGTTTTGACTTGAGAGTAGCTCTTAACTCCTCCATCAAGGCAGAAACTGGCAGTGAGTCCCAAGAGAAGATATAGGGTCAAGAGTCACCACGGCGAACCCAAGATCGGTCACTTAACCGGCTTTAGATGTTTCAGCAAATGATTGCAAAATTCCATGCAATGCAGGGACATCTCAATATCAGATCAACGCTGTCTTGGTCAGATTTACTCTGCACGATTGAGGGTAGTCTTGTCTCATCTTGAGAGAAAACGTCTTCTTCATCCAAATCACAATCTTCTCAATAACTACCCCGAAATAGCAATGTGCATCTTAAGCACAATCATGAACGTTGCCGCCCCAATAGATATCAGGTAAGCCGGGCACATTTACCGTATCATTGCCACGTTCACATGACATGTGGCATCCAAAGGGTTGGCCAAACATCGCTAAACCGAGAGCATCAACTGGCTAGCAAGACCATCACATCACATCAAACTCCAGTCAGAACTAGGTAAAGCAAAGCTTGTAACGCTTATAGATTCTGAGATAACAAATCATCTCCCAAAACGCCGTGTATCTTTCTAATCATCATCTTACAATTCATCCTTCTTCTTGAAGAACTCCTCCTGACTCCCCTCCTCCTCGCCTTCAGCCTTCTTCTTCTCAGCCTTGGCCTTATCCAGCGCTTCTTTCTCCTTCTTCAACTTGGCCTTGTTCTTAGCAAGCTCATCCTCATCTGCATCGATATACCCCCTCAACTCCTTCTCACCACCAGGAAGCTCTACGAGCTCGAGTTTCCACCCGTATTTTCCTGCGAGCTTCTTCATGCGCTCTGTCATGTCCTTCACTGTGGAAGGCTTGAGGTCGAGGCGTTCTAGCTCTTCGGTGCTGAGAAGCTTTACTTCGGCACCGTCTTCTTTGCTCTTACCAGAGGCGACGACTTCGATAAAGCGCTCGCCGTCGGTGTCGGTGTTGGAGAAGTAGCTTCGTGGAGGAGAGAGCTTGGCGGGTGGTTTGCCTGCTTCGTCGGCGCCGGAGAGGACATTGCGGGCGCCTACGATAACACCGCCGATATTAACGGGCTCTTTTGCTGCATCTTGTGGCTTGGCCTCTTCGGGTTTGGCCTCTTCGCCCTCCTGCTTCAGGGGCTCCTGTGCCGCCTCAGCTTCCTTCACAGGGATCGCCTGGTCTAGTAAAGGAGTCTGGTCATTCTCGCCGACGATGAGCTTGCACGAAATGGGGTTCGCTCTAGTCTCCTCAGGAGGCAAGAAAGCAACG